CCATAGGCTGCGGAAGCTGAGTAACTGTAACCAAGGCAGGGGGAAAGAAAAAAGCTGGGGAGACTTGATCCACTCCATTTGGCGAAAGAGCCAAGAACCCTCAGAGCTTGGCTGAGCAATGTGATGGTTACTAAAGAGGAAAGCAGACAGGCGGAAGTGAAGAGTAGCAGTAAAACAAAAAGAGAAAGGCAGGCATGGGGCCCAGGACAGATGGATGGTGCTCTTAGGAAAGAAGGGCCTTGGACAGAGGCCAATTTCCTACCTAAGAAAGTCACCTCGTCCCAGAAAGAGTGGAGAAGGAAGACAAGGTTGCCAGAGCAGAAGTACGTGAGTAATTTCATTCCCTTGCTCATTCCAGGCAGCCCTAAACTGACCCCATTAAAACTCATCTTTTCAAGGGAGAGTCAGGGAGAGTCGGATTTCCAATCAGTTACTTCAGAGTCCTCTCCTCTCCTCACCATCCCGCCCTCCAAAAACCAAATGTAAAGCCAGTATCTAGGGCACTCCACAAAAGAGACTAAGGTCAGCCACGGGAAAACCCGAGGATCCCCAAAAAAGAAGTCTCTTGCACCCTTAAAGTTCCTTTCCAGTTTTTTATTTTGTAAACCCTGGCCATGTTTGCTATTTGAGGTTTCTGCGATCATGGGGGCAGAGCACAGAATGAAAGAGAAGAACTATGAGCTAAGACATTATGACTTCTCACTCTTCAGAGTTTCAAATACGAGAGCATTAAACTGATTTTTTAAATTGCTCTTAATTTCTGAGGTCACTAGAAATAGCTGAAGGGGCTCAAAGTCAGGTCTGTGTCTGACTTCTTAGAAAGCTCTTAAGAGGAAGAGAGATTCTACATAAATAGTATCTGGGAAATTATCCTTATGGGTTTTCATAGAAATGAAGAGAAAAATGCCACAAAGGACAGCAGCTATGAAACTCCCTTGTGCTAGGGGGAAGCTTCGAAGAGGGAATGAAATGCTTGGGTCCGACGGGCACATAGGAGCAGACAAACTACTTCACAGAGAAACCCTTAACCAAAGGAGAGGTTACACCTCGAATGATTAACCTGCTCTGCATTATCCATTTCCAGAGAGGCCCAGATGCTGTGGCCTAAAAAACAACCATCTGCTTAAGAACTGAGATAAGTGCTAGTCCAGCTCAGGCTGGACATGGTGAGTGAGGGACACCACACATTTTGCCCAGACTCCACGTTCACCCCGGTGAAAGGACCTGGAGTGGGAGCCAGTCCTTTCCAGTTTCATTCACTCATTCATTCATTCATTCAGTATTTGTTGAGCCACAAATGTCAAACACTATTCCAGGTGCTTGGGAAAAGAGCAGTGAGCAACAACAAAAGACAAACTAACATCTCTTAAGGGTGCTTATATTCCAAATTCTGAAACTTATTATAAATCAGTGTTTTCAAATTATGAGCTGTGAAATTTATCTAGCAGGAGTACCAGATGAGCACTTACAAAGAAAAACAAAGGGAACAGTAAAAAATACCAGAGTACATCACACACAGTAAGGTCAGTTCTGTTTCATAAAATCCACTTCACTCACAGATACCTGTTTATGAGGACTGGGAGCCAACACATAGGTAGGTGCTTCTGAGCATGGACTGGTCCGCCACAAGAGTACAGAAGTCCCCAACTTTAAAAACCTCTTTACCTTCCAGACACTTGCTCTCCTCCTCCTCTTCACTCTGACTAGTTCTTAACAACCTGTCCATAAATGCAATCTTACCACCTTCTTTGCCCGGCACTTTGGGTAAATATTAAAGAACACATTCTTTCCAGATCAGTGTTCCCAGCTTTTCTGAGTAGATGCCCTTTTACACCTGTCTTCCTTGTCAGCTGATTAAGAAAACACACACCATGGCCAGAAGCCACATGAACTTTTATATGGATTTTTTCCGGAGACAGGGTCTCACTGTATAGTTCAGGCTGGCCTGGAACTGACAGCAATCCTCCTCCCTCAGCCTCCCCAGTGCTGGGACTAAAGGTGTGGGCTACTATGCCTGGCTTACATGGATTCTTAAATACTAATCTGATCCTAAACGCTTCTACACAGAACTACAAAGCATGCAAACACACAGAAGACAAGTATTCGCTCCCTCTGCATACCATGTCTGATGTTCAAACAGGCTGGCAGACCTCTTGTGCCCTGATAGATCCCAAGCACAAAGACTGGTAATCACTTCTAAGTCCCTATGTGTACAGTATTTGACTACTTCAGGCTCACCATAAAGCCATGGCTGGGGGTGCACACCTGTAATCCAACACTCAGTGAGCCTGAAGAGAACCCTAAATTTGAGGCCACCCGGACCCCACCCAAATCGCCGGTTCTTACCAGATGGCTGCTTAGGGTAGTTTCCACTTATTTTATTACTCCTCCCTCTTTCTTCTTTCAACTCATCCAAACTACTAAACCTGAGCACTCACAGGTACATGACTGTTTTTACTTGTGGTTGTTCATTTTCTCTTTTATAAAATTTTTAATCCCTGGCTCCTTCAGAGTGCTACTGGTAGTTGTGAAGATAATTCTTAAACACTGAGAGGCACGCCCATCCCCATAACTGCCTGTGCTTTGGCGGCCAACATCCAAAGATGGCCATGAGTGGAACTGGGGGAGTAAATGGGGCTGAAACAGAACAAAGAGCTGTCTTCCTGGGTCTTCTGATGCCTGAAGTCACAGGACTACAGCAGCTCTGACTTCTCAAAGGGCTTTACGCTCCCTGTCATGCAGGCTACATTATGAGGTCTACTCCTGCCTCCTCCTCCCACCTCTGCTGCTCTGCTCCATTTGGGGGCTGGGCAAACAGGAAGCCCAGACACCTTTATCACACATTTCAAGGTGGGCCACACAGAAAAGATTGGAAAGTCTGGAAGGAGGTTGTGGCAGTCCTAATGTAGACAGCTAAGTTAGTTAGAAATATTATAGGCAGTCAGACAGAGCTGGGCCCTGGGAGAAGTCAGTGCAGAAGACAAGAACACATCACAACTGTGGATGGAGGTGCATTCATTGAAGGCCAGACTTCAGGACAAACAGAACCGACTACAGCCACACACTTCCCCTAGGGATGAATAGCAGTGATCGATATTCTAAATAGCCACCAATCACCTGGGTGAGGGACAAGACCTTAATCCATCCTTTCCAGGAAAAGTCCCTGACCCATTCCTTCCTGGAAAATCCTTGTTCTTCCATATACATTGCTACATGACTTGCTCCCTATTTGATCCCCACTTAATCAATATTATCTAAGCGACTACATGTGTAATCTTATTGGTTGACCATAGTTTTGTCCCACCTTATATCCACCTTGTGATTTTCCCTTGGATCAATACTACCTAAGCGACTGTACTTGTAATCTTATTTGTTAACTATAGTTTTGTCCCACCTTATACACATCTCATCTCATGGTTTTGCTCTATAAAACTCTCTTAAGAACCAGGGGTCTGCAGCCAACCCACTTTCCAGACTCCCTTCTGTCTCTCTTAGGCAGAAGCTATCTTCCTCTCAATGAATATTTCCTACCCTTAACCTCCATTGTTCCTAGAGTTCATTCTTCAATCATAGAGAACACAAACTCAGCATGTTAAGACATCTAGCAGGTTGGGAGTTACACTATTTCCCTTATACTATTTGGAGGTTCATATATCATCCCTATATCATGCACCCTATTGTCAGTCCCACTCCCCAGCAGACTCTGGCTGTTGCCTAAAGCCCCCACTTCCAGAGACCAGCTCTAGCCCCTCCACCATTTCAACAGTGTTCCCTTCCCGGAAATCCAAACCGCAGAAAGGTGGTAGCCAACTGCAATCTAGATTACAGGCGATTAGATGATTGCTGCGTTGACAACACTCCCTATGGTCAGCAAATACACAAATCTCAGAATACTTAAAACTGGCTTTCACATGGACCCTATACCATTTGTTTCCCAATTACTCGTGTTTCATTTTTTAAAAAGAGGAGAGGAAGGAGGGTTGAAGGGAGGGGAGGGGAATGGGGGAATAAAAAAGAATCAAGTTATATTATGTACAGGTTAAAATTCTCTGATGAATGTGATCATCATGTATGTCAAAAATGTACCAATAAATATCCATTTTAAAAAACACGCAGGCCGGGGATTTAGCTCAGTGGCATCGTGCACTGCCTCCCAAGTGCAAGGTCCTGAGTTTGATCCCGGTACCGGGGG